AAATAATCCACATTAATTCAAAGCAAATGAATTTCAATGAAATAAAAATTTAATTGCATTATACAAGAAATTGACATGAAAATTATATGGTCATAATGAAGTTTACTCTTAAAGATACCTTTTATTTGGGGTGATGGCTTATACCAATCTCCTAGCATTTGGAAGGCTGAGGCAGAAGTATTGCTGTGAGGTCTAAGCTAGCCTAGACTTTACAGTGAGATGCAAGCCATCTATAAGGCCTACAGAGTGCTAGCCTGTCTCACAAACCAAAACACGGGAAAAAAAGAAAACAAAAACAAAAACAAAAAATACCCAAAGCCAAAATACAACAGAAGTAAAGATATCTTCCAGCTGAAAAGCCATCCCTATTGAGATAACTGATTAGGAGCATTCCCGTCATCTTTAGGGCTGGGGCCGAACCTCGCTGTAAAGTGTCTGCTTGGCATGCTCATGGCTTCTAATTTAAATACTAACACCAGCTAAAAACAAAATTCTGGGTCAAAATCTTCACTTCTTACTAATGTCATGGAAGTAGAAGCATCCAGAAAGCTGTTGTTCTTGGGCTAGAAGTCAGGGCTGCAATCACAAACCTGGAACTTTCCACTGTGTAAGTACCAATCTGGTTTCCTCTGCATCTGATGGAAAATAGCGCATACCGGGAGCCTAACAAATGCTTGCTGAATGTCAAGATTCTCTTAATGCACTGTAATGCACTGTAAGTATTAGGGACAGGGGACTTGACCTATGGAGTGGATCATTTTAACTTAACAATTACTGAATCACAAATGAACTCTCAAAAGCTTTGAGAGCAGAATCGGTAAAACTGGGACATGGCCATCTTTGGTACAAACACAAGCCTGAAAAATAAGCCATGGCACAGTCAGAAAATGAAGTGCTTTTGTGTTTATGTTCTGTATTCATCAGACTTAATTCTTCTTTATGCTTTTTTTCCATTAAAATTTGCTTTTACAGCTTACTTTACTCTCCATCTACAAGGCCATCATGGAAGTCTCAAAGGAAACATTATTTGAAGAATTTGAGAACTATTCCTATACTTTAGAATATTACCCGCACGAGTCTGCTTCAGAGGAGAAGACACACCTGGGAATTGTTCACTGGGTCTCCCTGTTGTTGTGTGTCCTAGCATTTGTTCTGGGAATTCCAGGAAATGCCACTGTCATTTGGCTCATGGGATTTAAGTGGAAGAAGACAGTCACTACTCTCTGGTTCCTCAATCTGGCCATTGCAGATTTTATTTTTGTTCTCTTCCTGCCCCTGTATGTCTCCTATCTGGCCTTGAGTTTCCACTGGCCTTTTGGCCTGTGGCTTTGCAAGGCTAATTCTTTCATTGCCCAGCTGAACATGTTTTCTAGTGTTTTCTTCCTGACAGTGATCAGCCTGGACCACTATTTCCACTTGATCCATCCTGTCTCATCTCAGCGGCACCGAACGCTAAAGAACTCACTGGTCATTGTTCTATCTGTCTGGCTTTTGGCTTCTCTGCTTGGAGGTCCTAGCCTGTACTTCCGGGACACTGTGGAAGTCAATAACCACATTATTTGTTATAACAATTTCCAGGAACATGACCATGACCTCACCTTTATGAGACACCATGTTCTGACCTGGGTGAAGTTCCTTTTTGGCTACCTTTTCCCTTTGCTGACAATGAGCTTCTGCTATTTGTGTCTCATCTTCAAGGTGAAGAAGCGAAGCATCCCCATGTCCCGTAAGCATTTCTGGACAGTTCTCTCTGTAGTCATTGCCTTTGTGGTCTGCTGGACTCCGTATCACCTGTTTAGCCTTTGGGAACTCACCTTTCACCACAACAGCTCTTTCCAGCATGTGCTGCAGGGTGGAGTCCCTCTCTCTATTGGCTTGGCATTCCTCAATAGTTGCTTGAATCCCATCCTTTACGTTCTAATTAGCAAGAAGTTCCAAACTCACTTCCGGGCCTCTGTTGCTGAGGTACTAAAGCATTCGTTGTGGGAAGTCAACTGCCCTGGCACAGTCAGTGAACAGCTCAAGAGCACTGAAACCAAGAGCCTGTCTTTCCTAGACACAGACCGTGTTCCCAGTAATCAGCATGGATTCTTCACGTGAACCTCATAAAAATCCCTTTCAGATGAAGCTTCGTTCTGATCTAAACTGACCATATTTTTGTCGTTTTTGCTCAGTGTATTGGCCTTATATTTTTGCGTGGGTATAAAATGTAGAATTTTTTCTTCCTTGCAATTTATATGATGCATCTTTCTGGCTGCCCTCTGGTGGCGATTGTGATATTGACAACCTAAATCTTTTTTCCCCACTGTTTTAGCCTGTCTATTGATGTACTGCAATATATCTATCAGATTAAATAAATCATTTTAATAATGCATACATTATATTAATGATAGTAATTTTCATCTTAAAAAGGTATCAGCCTCGTTTTTGGTTTCCTTTTGGGTCATTTTGTGTGTGCACAAAATGTGTGTGCAGATGCATGTGTGCAAACCTTGATTGTTGCTCCCCACTTGCCTAGAGCTCACCAAGCAGCCTACGATGGTTAGCCAGCAAGTCCCAGAGATCTGCCTGTCTCCACCTCCACAACACCACACTGAATGCCTGCCACACCAGGCTTTTTCTAATGTGTGCTTATCTAATGTCTTCCTTGAATGCACCTGACCAACTAGGGTATCTCCCCTGCTCCCTGATCTTCACCTTTTCAGTTACTAAAAGAGAAAATTGACAGAAAAATTTTTTCTGAGATAGTTTCACTATGTAGTCTGGTTTGGCCTCAAGCTCCAATAAACAAATTGAATACAAATATATTTTAATAGTATAATACATAATATTCAACTTTTTAATAATTTACAAACTGAAGTATTAGTTGGTTTATATTGGCTTAAAACTTTCATTTCTGTCAACTATTTATTTGCTAAGTTGACCCAAAATCTAATTACCTAAGTAACTTATTGTTAGCATAGTTCAATTTTGAGGTTCTGGAACAAGCAAGAGGGTGGTTTGATTCTGCTTCCTATGCCTGGAGCCTCAGATGGATAATGATGTAAATGGTCTAGCTTGGAGTAGCTGGGACTAGTTCATCAACTGTCCTTTTTCTCACATCTGTCCCTTGGCCCTGTCCAGAGCGGCCATACTTCTCAGTTCCAAAAGGTGCAAGTGGCAAGTGCTCCACCAAGCTGCATCCTCAGGCCTATTTACAAATGCCACTCATACAGCATTGTTTCAAAGCAAGACTAGGCCAGCTTGAAATCAAAGGGAGGGGGACAGACCTCTTGCTTCTTGATGAAACATGTTTACAATTTTCTGTTCATTTTTAGTTCTTTAGAACATCACAAAATTTGAAAATTCTGGTTGTGTACAAGTGTGTAGATTAGTTACTATAGAATCACATTTCCAGTTGGGCTGGCCCAAACTCAGAACTACAAGGTGCAGGCATTGTTCTTTTGTTTACGTGGAGACCAAGTATAAGCTAAATAACATACACCTTTATGCCTGTGTTCTTCAGCATTCTCAAGCACTATGGATCCCCAGAAGAGCAAGTGCTGCCCTCTGCTGGCTCTCGTGGTTCTGGAATAAACCTCTCCTGGCTCCCATGGCTGACACTGCCCTCTGCTGGCCCTTATGATCCTAACAAACTTGAAAACATTTTCCCACTATTTCAGGCTGCATCTGAATTTTCCTCAGTGCGTATTTCATTAAATAAATGTATCTGGTTAAATAAATTTTTACAATATGAAGCTTCCCTCACTAAATCAAGAGCAAAAGTAGGGTCAGGCTATGCGACAAAGCTCTAGATTAATTTTTCTGGATCCTCATCTACAAAATCCAGAAAGCTTTAAAGATACATCTGGTATTTAACATGAAGCCAAAAGAGCAGAAATGTTCAATGGTATACTTTCAGGGCAGCACAATCACTGGCAGTAGCTTTTTAGCATACTGCCTATCTCAGCCAGCGCTTTCTTACAGAGAAAACACCCTACACTCAACAACCTTATAAACCTACACAGGACTATGGGAGTGTGGGAGGCCTGGGAACTAGTTAACCTACATAGTATGCTAATACCAGATTATACTTGTTTTTTTCTTTTTCTTTTTTTTTTTTTGAGACAGGGTTAATCTTGTGTAGCCATAGCTGTCCTGGAACTCACTCTGTAGACCAGGCTGGCCTCAAACTTAGACTTGCCTGTGTCTGAAATTTTACACCACCCAGTCAGATCACATTTCTAACAAAAGGTTCAACCTCCATAGCTCAACACATTAATTCCTAACATTTGTAAACGTCCATAATTGTATGACTTACCTCCTCTGATAAAGCAGCAATACAAAACTTGTGGGGTAGCTGGAGAGATTGCTCAAGTTAGGAATACTTGAGGGCCTGGGCACTAACACCCACATAGTAGTTAACAACCATCTTGAACTCTGGTTCTAGGGAACCCAACACCCTTTTCTGAATTCCCCAAGCATTATGCATTCGAGTGGTGCACATACACATATACTGCTGATGAAGAAAACATTTTCTGTATGAGTGCATGTATGTATGTGAATGGCAGAGGACCACTTTCTACCCCCCACCTAGACTCTAGCGACTGAAAACCCAGGTGGTAAACACCTTACTCAATTCTCTGAAAAAACTAATCTTGACGTCTGGCCAAAATAGACCACATCCATCAGTACCATGTATTACTGTCAGTAACAGAATTGCATTACCAATGGCTACAAAATTATAACTGCTAAACAATTAGTAACACTACATGTTTTCACTACATGTTTTTTTTTAAAGAAAACTGTTGTATATAGTCATGTAGTACATGAAACACACATGTTGGGAATCAGTCTTCTTTCACCATATGGGCCAGGCGGGTCATCAAGCTTGACCTGCTGCTGAGATACCTATCTTTCCGGCCCCCAAGTTTTTATTCCTTATGGATTCCATGTCCACTGAAGCCTTCCCTTTAATGAAGGCATATATCATTTCTCATAATAGAATCAAGAGCCCAGGGTTCTTTCTAGCTTTTATTCAAGTGCACTGACTTGAGGATGATTCTAGATTTTGTTAAAAGCAGCCACATCCATGGATTGTACGTAGTCCTCAAAAGCAGTAATCTGCTCTTCCAGCATATCTGTTCCAACCTTATCGTCCTCAACTACACACTGTATTTGAAGCTTTTTAATTCCATATCCCACTGGAACCAATTTGGCTACAAAAGAACATAAAGGGAAGAGTTAGGAAACTGTTATTGATGGAAAAATAATGAAAATGTACATAAATTCCAACTTCAAAACACCACCATTAAACTTACAAGAGCCCCACACCAAGCCGTCCGCTTGAATGCTCCTAACACACTCCTCTAACTTGGCCATGTCGGTCTCATCATCCCAGGGCTTCACGTCCAGTAGGATGGAAGACTTGGCAACAACCGCGGGCTCTGCAAACATCAGGAAATGCATTGCACCTACTTGACCAAACACCTTTGCTCTAGCTCAGATCTCAATTTGTTTCGAAACAGACCATCTCCTTACGAAAAAACATACAAAACTCACTTGTGTCTGTCACGCATATTTCCTCTTTCTGTTTGGCTGAGAAAGAGGCATGAAATTGTGTAACAGTTTCTATCCCACAGAGGAATGCTACAACTGCCACCGTAAGAACAGCTGCAGACCAGTAGCTGTGGACCTTTTATAAGCAAAGATGTTTACTGAAGACTACAAATCAAATATTCACCCAAAGAAATTGGGAAAAAACCATGTTAGGGTCAAGCTTTGGAATAAACCACTCACATTATTATTTAACAATGAAGATACACGACTTCAAAATTACCTACTTTTAGCTTTCTTGGATTCATACTGTGCAAGGCGCTCTTCTCGGAGCCTCTTTGCTTCTTCACTTTCCTGTACGGGGGGAAAAAAATTCACGAAGTTGGCTATCTTCTGCATATACAATGTAATGATAGGGTCATTACAGAAATGACCAGATTCATCAGTGAAAAGCAAATCCATCAGGAGTTCAGCCGAAAGATGGTGATTTGATTTTATTCATCATGTACCCAGTGAGGGTTCGAATCCAGGCCCTGATACAGTATCTACAATTATGCTTGAAGATACACTGCCTCATCATTATATTCAGACAGAGATGTCAGCCATACCTCCTCGTCATCTGACCCAAAGAGATCAATGTCGTCGTCGTCTTTAGCATCCGCAGCTGCACTTCCTGTGGTGTCTTCCACACTGGCAGGACCGTACTTGCCCAAAGACTTCTTCACTCCTGGAAGGCTTGAAAAGAAACACCCTACCATTGTTAGGTCGGCGCCACACCCCTTCCTTTACTGGACAAAACACAAAATCTTTCTTTCCCAGTAACAATCTTTTCGGTTATTGACCCTTTAGCACAATCTCAGGTAAAAATATTATGTGTGCCCGACTCTTCAGCCAACAAACACTAGGACTACGGGAGACATCGTACTCAATACTCACTGTGGTTTAACTCTTTCAGAACGAACATCTCTGAGCTTTCATTACGGTTTCTTAGTTAACTGGAGTCTACTCCCCAAACTCTCCATCCGTGCTGGTAGTGTCAGAAGGCCAGGGACAGAGTGAATGAGCTACCCCCTCACCCTAGCGATGCCCCCCCCCAGGTCGAAGTACATTGGCAGGGAGGTGTGGGGTAAAGTTTGACTGCTGCTGTCCATGTTCTACCTGTCCTGTGAGGAAATGGAGGACTTCAGTCTCTTGGCCTTCTAAGGTCACCAAGAAATTCAGCTTACACCAGCCAACAACGCTAAAGTAAGTAGAACCTGGGTCCTACTTTGTCATGGGAAAGTCCGGGTGGTGCAAAGCTATTTTTACCTGGCTTTCTCTTTCTCATAAGACTTGATGTGATTATACCAGCGCAGAGCATGGAACAGGTCAGCGGGCGGTGGGCCAGAGACGGCTTCAAAGACTGCCACATCTGCTTGTGATGGCACATACCTGCCGGTGACACAAAAACACGTGCACACACCTTTCAAAGAAAGACACAATATACGACAATGTATGACAAACTCTGCATACGTCCAACCGACTAGTGGGAACTATCACGGGGCTAACAAGCTGTTCCAGTTGCTTTTAATTTTAAGTGTACCAAACATCTGTTTGAGCCAGTGCAAGCTAAGAGTAGCAGCCACGGAGGAGAGAATCAAAGGCTGCCATCTTCCCGTCAGGCTAGTCACAGCTTTAAATCTGTTAACTCGCCCAAACCGCGGAACAACTCGGTTGAACGCAGCCCCTCCCGGGCGCCCCGCTTCCCTTCCGCCGAGCCCGCGCCACGTGGCCCCGGCCTCCCGGCTCACCCCTCGATGTAGCTCTTGTCCGCCAGGTAGTCGTTGAGCACCTGGAGGCCGGCGGGGGTTTTGAGGTCTCCGAAACCCATGGCGTCGGCTGTATCCCGGAGGCCCGCAACAGCGGAGGGAGAGAGCGCCAGAAGCCCGCGGCTGGCGCTGAGGGAGAAAAGGGCCCGGGCCGGCCGGAAAAGTCCTTATATAGAGACGGAGGCGTTTCCCTCCGCCGCACCGGCTAGAGGTTAAAGGTCAAAGTGCGTTACTAGTCGCGGTCCTCCACGTAAACCTGGGACTTGCAAATTAAACGGCCCACAGGTTGTCCGCGGGCCTTCCCTTGCGTTTGGAAAGAAATTAATAAAAGAGGCATTTTTAAATGCCTACCTCCAAGGATTCCGAAAGTAAGGGAAACGCCCCCTGCAGAGACGGAGTTGAACGAAAGTGCTCGGCCTCGAGGCCTCGGTTACTTCCGGCGGAACTGCAGGTCCAAGACGACCTCTCCGCTTCCTCTCGGCTCTCGTTCAGGCCGACGGAAATTGCCGAACAGGGCCAGAGAGGGAAAATTGTCGAATCTGGGATTTTCGTCCCTGCTGGCTTTCCGTCCATCAGCTCCTGTGACGGAGTTAGCCGGGACCGCCATATTGACTTAGCGGCCGGGTTTTAAGGGGTCGGAGAAATCCGGACAAGCCAGCGGAGCATCCTCGTGGGCTCCGGAGGAAAGGTGAGGACATATTTAAGTGGCAGGGCTGAAGTACTGCGAGCAGGTTTTTTTTTTCTTGGCAGGAGTGTATCCTTTAGGTCAGACAAGTCATTCTCCTCTTGTCCTTGACTGGGTACCGCCTCCCGCCCCGCCACCTCGGAAACCCGGGAGAACCGGCAGGTGAGGCTGACTGGCCTGAGTTTCTGGTCTGATGGGAGGTAGATCGGAAGACCCTCGGGAGCTCGGACTTGCGAGCTTCTTTCGCTGTGCTGGGAAAGCAGGAGATAGCCTTGACAGGAGGCCGGCTCTGCCAGGGTCCCGAGTGACTTCACCTTGGGCACCGCTGTTTAGTTGCTGTCCTGCAGATGTCCACACTACTGTTTGTTTTATCTGGTTCATTGATCACACTGGGTAGCATTTTATTCATTCTACGGGCGGAGAAAACTGACAAAAATGTGTAAAAAGTTAGCCGGCGCTGGTTAGCTCAGCGGTTAAGAGTACCTTGCAGAGAGTATCCGAATTCGGTTCTCTAAGTCAGGAGACTGCCAACTGCCTGTCACTGTGCTCCAGGGGATTCGCCACCCTCTTCTGGACTGGGAGCACCTGCACTCACATGACCCACACACAGACACGCACAGGCACACATAAATATAGAGAAAATGCATCTAAAAAAGTTAGCTCGGAGCCCAGCTGCCAATCAGGAAGCTGCAGTGTCTTTAAGTCCCCGAGATTCAATGTAAAATCAAACTGAATTGTAAACTTTAGATTTCTTTTTTTCCTGGGAATCTTTTCTTTTTCTTTTCCCACTGAGTTTTACATTACTAAATGGAGTGTTCTAAGCCAGAGAAAAGTTTTAGAAAGTTGTTCCTCTAAGTCACAGCCAAGATACTAGAGATGTGCCAGGTGTAGTGTAGCTCGTCTATAATTCCAGCACTGGGCAAGCTGAGACAGGAGGATTCTAACTGAGCTACAGCCCCATCTTGAATAATTATTTCTGTTCGTATCTGATAGATAATATGTCTGAAACGTATATCAGGGCTGGCGGGGTGTCTTAGTTGGTAATGATGCGTGCTGCCGTGCCTGACAACCTGAGTTTGATCCCCAGGACCCCCATGAACAGACTCCCAAAAGTTTGCTTTGGCGGTCACGTGCACACACCGCAGCATCGTGCATGTGTATTTGCTAGCACATACAAAGTAAATAAATGAATGTGAAAAACAAGCCCAGCACCAGCAACAGACATGCAGCAATCTGGACATGGCGGGGTATGTTTATAATCCTGGCACTCGCTCAGGAAGTGGAGGCCTGAGTTGATCCTTTCCTTCACAGCAAGCTTGACCTCAGGCTGAACTACGTGAGATTTGTATAAAATACACAACAAAACAAACTGTATACTGTAGAAGGCAGGTTATCCTCAAACTCTATGTAGTGCAGGTTTTATATCATTGTGTAGCTTAGGCTGGCCTCAAATGCATGGTTCTCATGCTTCAGGGGCCCCAGTGCTGGGATTATAATGGGAATTGGGCCACCATGCTTGACCTCTTCAATACTTTTTGTCTGATGGAGTATGTACTACTCATTCTGGAATTTGGTGACTTGTTTTTGTAAGGGTACTGTTCCCTTCAGAAAAGGGAAATAGTCAGATTTCTTGTCAAGGAATTTGTGGTCTAGTAGGTACCAAAGTCGATAATTCACATGCAACTTAGCATTGGAGACTTTGTTATCTGTGCTTGCGATACAGCCCAGTGCAGGCTAAGGAAGTGGTCCTCCACTAAAGCTTAGCCCAAGTTTAGTAAGTAGGATAGTAAAATAAATACATGGTTGAAAGAAATCCCACACTAGTTCAGAATTGAATATAATAGGGGGTTATTTATTTAGGGGTAGACTCACAGATCACAATGCTCTGCTCAAACTGGGAACAGCAACCAAATGCTGCAGCTGGAAGAGAAAGTGGACGCACACTTTATATCAGCGTATATAGTATATGAGGCCCCGCCCAAGTGTGCAGGTGACTTAAAGGCTGCTGGCTGTAGAAATTCCTACAGCACATGGTATGTGCTGTTAATAAAGAAAATGACCACAAGCAAAGAACCCTTCACGACTGATTGTCAGCAACCATTACTGATTAAGTTGAAGTCAGCTTTTATTGCAATTTTTTCTTTGTTCTTAGTATTGGCAATTTTTGACCTAGTAATAACACCCTAGCAAGTATTGTAGATCTTCTTTATAGATTAAGAACCAATAACTGATTTATACCAGAAATTATTAGTAGACAACAGACTGTAAACAGACTGCAGCTGTCTGCAGATTCAGTATCGAAAGTTATAGATTACTGTTATTAAGGAATTAATTAATAAAATTAATTATGAATTAATGAAAGTTTTAATTATAGGTCTTGCATGATAACTACAGACTTTAGTACTTAGAATTTTATTTTATCTGGAATGGTAGCAGAGGCAGAGGCCTGTGGATGGATCTCTGAGTTTCAGGGCAACCTGGTCTCTTGATAGCTAAAAGGCAGTTTTGGTAGCATGTGCCAGAAGGGTATGTTGAAGAGGTAGAGGCAAGAGAATCATGAATTCAAGACCAGCCTGGGCTATACCTTTGGGACTGGAGAGGTGGCTCAGTGGTTAAGACCCCTGACCATTCTTCTAGAGGACCCAGGTTTGATTCCAAAAAATTATATGACAACTTGGCACCTGTTTGTGACTCCAGTTCCAGGGGATCTGACACCCTCTCCTAGCCTCTCTGGGAATCAAGCATGTACCCACTGAACAGACATATGTGCAGCAAAACACACATAACTTTTTTAATTAAAAAGGAAAAAAATTCTGATTTTGCATGATTTTCTATTAATGCTACTGCTATTGTAACTTTTTTACTAATATTTTAATGTTGATACATTCTAATCACATAATTTTTTTCTCACTATCTTTAAAAGGTAAAAACAGCTACACGAAAGACTAGTCATTTTGCATATCCCTGTAATCCCAGCAGTTTGGTGATAAAGGCAGGAAAACCAAGAGTATAAGGCTAGCCTGAGCTACATGAGACCAAAACTAAATAAAACCAACCAACTAAAAAAACTTTAAAAAATTTCAAAGGAAAAATTATGATTTTAGAGGCTATGTTGCACAGTTTTATGGTCAATTTAACACAAGCTAAAGTCATTCAAGAGGAGGGAACCTCAACCAAGGAAATGTTTAAACACTGGGCAGTGGTGGCTCATACTTTAAATTCCAGCACTCAGGAAAAATTGTTTTCTTTTCTATCTGTGAATGTTTTGCCTGCTTGTATGCATGTGCACTGTGTGCTGGTACATGCAGAGATCAGAGAAAGACATGAGTAACTGCAGTTCTGGATGGATCACCATGTGGGCGCTGGGGACTGAACCCAGGTTCTCTGCAAGAGCAGCACATGCTTTAAACTTGTGAGCCTCTCCAGTCCCCTTTCTGTTTTCGAGACAGGTTTCACCATGTTATCCAGGCTCACCTTGAACTCACTCAAGGTCTAGGCAGGCCTGGAGCACATGATCCTGCTGCCTTGGTATCTCAAGTAACTGAGATCACAGTTCTGCAGCACTAGGTTGGTGGAGGACAGTTGTTTTAAAGCTTATCCATGAGTTTTGATAGATTCAGGATGGAAGTATAGTAGCGAGCAAATTGCAGGCCTGCGAGATAAACATACTACTCAGCACAGAATGATGGTCCTCAAGGTGCGACAAAGGCTTTTGACTTCTGAACTACCTCAGAAATATTTTAGGATCATATATAATTCATGTATCATCCGAGAGTGCATACTGGAGCCTGTTGTGGTAGCACCCAGGAAGCAGAGGCAGGAGGATTACTTCAAGACTAGCCAAGATTAATAGCAAGACCCTGTTTCAACAAAACCAAAACCCCAACATACTGGTAGGAAATGAGGACAGAAAGGTTTTTTTTTTTAATTTGTTGTAAATAGCTATTAATGATAAGAGTTATTTTGCAGTTTATTTTACTTTATTCTAATTTCTTCTTTCTTTCTTCTTCTTCTTCTTCTTCCTCTTCCTCCTCCTCCTTTTCCTCCTCCTCCTCCTTCTTCTTCTTCTTCGACAGTGTTTTCTATATCTCTGCCTGACTTCAAACTTGTAGTAAAAAATGACCTTAAACTTTTGATCCTCCTACCTCCACTTCACAGGTTCTGGGATTACAGACATGTATTCCATTTTATGCTGTGCTGGGGTTAGAATTTAGAACTTTCTGGATGCTAGGCAAGCTCCCTTGTGTATTGTACACCAACTGAACTGTGTTCCAAGCCCTTCCCACTTCTTTCTAGTTATAACAAAACTGCTCTTTGCATTACAAAGCCCAGATTTACGGCTGGAGATATAACTCAGTTGTACCACTTACATGCGGACCCTGAGTCTGCTAACTGCTTCCTAGCTGTGTGACGTTGTATATGTTAATGTCTCTGGACTGAATGTTGTATGTTCAAGTGAGAGAAAACATCAGTACCTCTGAATATTCTAATTTATAAATAGGTGGGTTTTTTACCTCTACAACAATTCATCTTTGTTTTATTTTTTAGGCATCATGCTAAGGATACCAGTAAAAAGGGCCTTGATAGGCCTTTCTAAGTCTCCTAAAGGATATGGTAAGTTTTGGGTTTGTTTTTTTTCTTTTTTAATATTCGTGAGTATTAGACTTACCTGTGTCGGTTCCATTG